GGTTGGCATTTTTACCACCCCACCTCGCGCTGTGTCCTGCCCTCTCAGGATGTCACGTTTGACGAGTCGGTTCCCTTTTACCGTCTCTTCCCCTACCGCACTACCCCTCTCCCTCCCCCACCGCTCTTCCTCGCGCCAGGTCCTTCTCTGGTAGACCCCCTTCCCCCTCAGGGTCCTGCTCCCACAGGTGTGTCCCAAGTAGACCCTGTCGAGCCTGTCGAGGTCGCTGTCGACTCTGGTGCTGCTAGAGGTGTTGCGTCTGGGGGTGCTGGGCATGAGTGTGCGGAACCTGGGGGTGCTGAGCTTGAGCGTGCGGAGCCTGGGGGTGCTGAGCTTGGGGGTGCTGAGCCTAGGGTTGCTGAGTCTGAGAGTGCGGAGACTGGGGGTGCTGAGCCTAGTGGTGCTGAGCCTGGGGGTGCTGAGCTCGGGTGTGCTGAGCCTAGAGGCCCTTCGGGTGTCTTGTCACGGCCGGAGTCTCTCTCTCCACTCCAGCTGCGTTAGTGGTTTTCTCGGTGCTGGAGCCTCCAGAGTGGTGCTGCTGAAGCTGGAGCTGCTTGAGGTGCTAGAGCTGCTAGTCCCGGAGGTGCTCGTATTGGAGGTACTGGAGCTGCTGGGGCTGGAGGTACTGCTGGAGCTACTAGAGGTACAGGAGCTGCTGGAGCAGGAGGTCCTGCTTGCGTTGGAGCCACTAGAGGTCCTGCTGGAGGTACTGGTTCTGCTGGTGCTGGAGCTGCTGGAGATAATGGAGCTACTAGAGCTGGAGGTGCTGCTGGAGCTGGAGCTGCTGGAGGTGCTGTCGCTGCTGGAGCTGGAGGTGCTTCTGGAGTTGGAGCTGGAGTTGCTGCTGGAGCTGGTCCTGCTGGTGGTGCTGCTGGTGCTAGAGCTAGTGGTGCTACAGGAGTTGGAGCTGGTGACCCTGGCGTTGGGGTTGCTGGAGTTGTCCCTGCTGGTTCTGGTGGTGCTGCACGGCCGCGGCTGTACTTCGTTCCACTCCATCGCGACCTCCTCCTGTACCCGGCACGCACCAGATGGCACTTCGTCCTTCCTCTGTTCCACATCGCATCCCTCAGCCGTCTCTTCCTGCGTCCTCCCTTGCTGACGGTCTGGACCTCGGGTCTGACTCACTTTGTGATGTCAGCCTTACTGTCACACGTCTGCTAGCTACTGTTGTAACTGACCCTTCCTTTGAGCCCACTGCTGCGTCTGCCTGTTGACTTTGTTGAGCTTGTTGACTTTGCTGCTCGCTATCGTCTCGACTACGCCGCTAGTCTTGTTGCTGAGTCTGAGCCTGTGTGTCCGTGAGGGGTGAGTGTGCTTTTGGCACGGACGTCCTTGAGGACAGGCAGGAGGACTATTTGTGCTTTGCAGCTGCTATACCTCATCTCGTGTCCATGCTGATTACACTGAGGGAGACCCGGATGCACCAGACATCCCGACCCCCCGCTCTTACGCAGAGGCAATGGAGGGTCCTTACTCCTCTTAGTGGCAGTCAGCCATGGACGCAGAGATGGCATCCTGGAAGTCCACAAGCACTTACGTCGACGAGGTTCCCCCACCTGGGGCGAACATCGTCAGTGGCATGTGGATTTTCAGGGTGAAGCGGTCGCTGGGTTCTCCGCCTGTCTTCAAGGCGCGTTACGTTGTACGAGGCTTCAGTCATCGATAGGGAGTTGACTTCTTCCAGACCTTCTCCCCTACCCCAAAGATGACTACTCTTCGGGTGCTACTTCACGTCGCTGCTCAGCGTGACTACGAGCTTCACTCTCTTGACTTTAGCACTGCTTTCCTACAGGGCAGCCTGCACGAGGAGATCTGGCTGCGCTGCCCACCTGGCTTTACTTGGTCGTTTCCTTCTGGTACCCACTCGAGCCTCCGGCGGCCAGTCTACGGTCTCCGCCAAGCTCCCCACGAGTGGCACGACACACTGAGGACGACTCTTGCGGCTCTTGGGTTTGCTCCTACTACTGCTGACCCGTCGCTGTTTCGACGCACCGACACTTCGCTGTCGCCGTTCTGCATCCTCGTGTATGTCAACGACTTGGTCTTTGCCACTGCTGGACTGGCCCACGTGAAGTCGGAGCTGCAGAAAAGACACACGTGCACAGAGTTGGGTGAGCTATGCAACTATCTTGGCTTGCAGATCACCCGGGTCAGAGCACGCCGCACCATCACCCTGACTCAGTCACACATGGTGCACCAGGTCCTTCAGCGCTTCGACTTCCAGTACTCCTCGCCACAGTACACTCCTCTGCCTACCAGTCACTCACTCTCAGCTCTGCCTTCGGATGAGTCCGTAGAGCCGAGTGGCCTGTATCCAGAGCTTGTGGGCTGCCTCATGGACCTGATGACCTGCACTCGACCTGACCTTGCATACCCTCTTAGCATCCTATCACGCTACGTTGCGCCCGGGAGACATCGACCAGAGCACTGGAAGGCCGCTAAGAGGGTGACGCGCTACTTGTGCAGTACGTCGGGCATGGGGCTCGTGCTTGGAGGACGGGCTCGAGTCGTCCTCACTGGTCACGCAGACGCTTCTTGGGTTGACGACTTGGATACGCAGCAGTCGTCACAGGGCTACACCTTCAGCCTTGGCTCCGGCTCTGTTTCGTGGCGGTCTACCCGCTCGTCTTCTGTTCTCAGCTCCAGTTGTGAGGCTGAGATATACACAGGGGCCATGGCTGCACAGGAGCTACGCTGGCTCACCTACCTGCTGACCGACTTGGGATAGCGGCCTCGTTCTTCTCCAGTTATGTACGTCGACAACAAGGCCATGATTGCCTTGTGACAAGAGCACAGAATGGAGCACAAAGTGAAGCACATAGCTTTGTGGTACTTTCTTGCTCGAGAGTTGCAGCAGCGTGGTCAGCTTTGTCTTTTTTACGTGGCCTCTCGGGCCAACACTGCTGATATCTTCACCAAGGCACTTCCGCCTTGTGATTATCAGCACTTTTGTATTGTTCTAGGCCTTGTGCCTACTTGGCCTCTCTTGCTCACTTATTGACTTTGGTTGTACTGTGATCAATATACTTGCACCTGCATGCTTACACTTGTTAGGTTGTGATCAGTGTACTGCTTGTTCTCCTTTACATATATCTCTGCAGGTGAACTGGCCTTGTGGCCATTTACTTGTGCTCAGAATCTGTGGTGACTTCGTGATCCACCTTGAGCTTGCCTTGCCTCTCTTGACTGGTCTTGTGACCCCTTGTTTTCCCCCACTTTGCCTATGGGGGTGTGTCAAACACATATGCTGATTATTGTGTAGGCTATAGTGGGGCAGCCCATATGGGGTACAACCCAAATTAGGGTTTGCTACTTGTACCCAAGCGGATGGTGTTGTACAACCCAAACGGATCGAATTTCATGTTATCATTCTGATTTTGCACAACCTAAACGGATCGAATATCACGTTCATTAATTTTCTTGTTCATAATTCTGACAGGTTTTGGAGTGAAGAGAACCGGTGTGCCAAAGGGAGAGGTGGATGGGCGGATCAGTTGTCTGTCTAGTAGATATTCGATCCGTTTTTTCATGTCTGTCAGTTCGGTCGAACTCAGTCAGGATGGTGTACGTGAGACGGGTTTCGCACCTGGGTCCTCCACGATCTCGAGCTCGTGGGTGCGTGCTGTCAGATTTATATGCTATAGTCTGTGTAGGCTGTAGTGGGGTAGACAATATGGGGTACAACACTTTTAGGTTTTCCTACTTGTACCCACCTGTTTCCTAGTGCATTCATTCCTCGTTTCTTCACATGGTATAGAGCAGGTTCCCTAATGGGAACGTTTCCTAGGGCCCACCACTGAAAATCGATTTTTTTCTTTCTTTCTTTTCCTGCCCGGAGCCCGCTTCGCTCATGCCCGAATCGCGCCCCGTGTGCGCTCCCTCCCGTCACGCCCCTAGCCCTTAGCGGCCCGTCGCGCCCCTAGCCCTTAGCGGCCCGTCGCGCCCTCTTGTGGCCCCTCGCGGCCCCTTTTACGGCCCCTCGCGACCCCTTCGCGCCGCCCTTAGCGGCCCCTCTCACGGCCCTTCGCGACCCCTTACGGCCCCTCGCGGCCCCTTACGGCCCCTCGTGCCGCCCTTCGCGGCCCCTTACGGCCCCTCGCGCCGCCCTTCGCGGCCCCTCGCGGCCCCTTCGCGGCCCGTCGCCGCCCTTCACGATCCCATCGCCGCCCTTCGCGGCCCCTCGGGGCCCCTCCACGGCCCCGTCTCTGCCCTCCGCGGCCCTGTCGCCGCCCTTCACTGCCCCGTCGCCGCCCTTCGCGGCCTCTCGTCGCCCCGTTTCGGCCTCGTCGCCGCCCTTTGCGGCCTCTCGTCGCTCCGTCTCGGCCCCGTCGCCGCCCTTCGCGGCCCCTCACGGCCCCGTCTCGACTCCGTCGCCGCCCTTCACGGCCCCGTAGCCGCCCTTCGCGGCCCACCGTCGCCGCCCCTGCAGCATCAGCCGCCGCTGCCCCTGCAGCAGACGGCGCCACGGCCGGAGCCACCGACAGCAACGGCCGCCGCCGTCACTCCCGGGGCAGCAGCCACCGCAGCCACCGCAGCCGTCACCAGCAGCAGCCGCCGCCGCCTCAACCGGTGCCACAGCCGCCGCCGCCGCCGCTGACTGCAGCCGCCGGTGCGCCTTGGCCCTCCCGGCGCGCCTCGGCCCGTCCCTGCCGGCGCGCCTCGGCCCACCCCTACCAGCGCGCCTCGGCCCTACCCGCGTGCCTCGGCCCGACCCTGCCGGTGCGCCTCGGCCCTGCCCCACCACTTGCGGCCCTCTGCCCTGGTAAGAGCATCGCCGCGCTGAGCTGCTACTGCTACCACTGCTGCTCCTGCTGCCACTGCTGCTACTGCTGCCTCTGCTTTCATGGCTACCCCCAACGTCCTCGTCTTTGATGCTGAGGGTCGGGCTGTTGACTTTGAGGTCTGGGTCGATGATCTGCATCTTTTCCTGCAGTGCGATAGGAAAGACGGTCTCTCACTGTTCGATCTCACGTCTGGGGTCTCTCTTGCCCCTGCTGCCGATGTTGACAGCACTGTTTACTCACAGTGGGCCACACGCAATGGTGCTGCCCGTCTTGCTGTGCGTAGTCACTTGCCGTCCACTGAGCGCGCGCACTAGTCAGTACAAGAGTGCTAAGACCTTGTACGACGCTATCATTGCACGCTACTCTTCCCCTGCCACTGCTGCCCTTAGCCGCCTCATGCTGCCGTACATGTTCCCTGACCTAGCCGCCTTTCCCACAGTCGCTGACCTCATTACGCACCTTCGCACTAGTGACACCCGCTACCGCGCTGCGCTTCCTGCTGAGTTCTGCGCCAAGAACCCCCCCCCCCCCCCCATGTACATCACCCTCTACTACATAGTCACCCGGCTCCCTGACTCCCTTCGTCCAGTCAGGGACCACTTCCTCTCTGTTTGCCCCACCACACTCACCGTTGACCTCCTCGAGGAGCGCCTCCAAGCAGCTGAGAAGAGTATAGTCGTTGTAGGAGCCTCTCGTGGTGACCGTCGTACCCCCTTCTTTGAGGGGTGCTCCCCCTCCCCCCTTTTGCCCTCTGTTGCCTCTGCTGCTGCCGTCGACTTCGTTGGCACCGAGTCGGTCGGCGCTGCGTCTGCCCCTAGCGGGAGACGCCGCACCGGCAAGGGCAAGGGGGGCAAGGGCGCTGGAGGGGCTGGCGGGGGTGGTGGAGGTGGCGGTGGAGGCGGCGGAGGGAGTTGGGGTGGCGGTGGGAGTGGTGGCAGGGGTGGGGGCTTCGGTGGCGGCAGTGGAGGCGGAGGCGGCGGCGTTGGTGGCGGTGGGAGCGGAGGAGGTGGCGGTGGCGGCGGTGGCGGAGGAGGCGGCGGTGGAGGTGGAGCTGGTCGGGGTGGCTCTGCGTAGCGGGGCGGCTTAGGTGGTGGTCAGCGCCAGCAGCAGCAGCGCACTCGTGAGACCCCGCCCCCCCAGCAGCTTCGTGAGTGGTATGCTGCGCGTCAGCGGGGCGGGGGTGCTGGTCTTTGTGCCTACGTTCTGCGTACCGGCGACCGCACTGGTGAGCCGTGCGGTAACCCGCACACCACCCAACACTGCTTCGGCCGCCTGACGGACACTTGGCGTCTCCAGTTCCCTGACGCCATGGAGATCCCCCGCTGGGGCGAGCTGCTTAGGTCGGGGGTGGCTATCTTGGATCTGGATTATGATGCTATTCTTGCTGCCATGTATGTTGTGTTTACTAGTGATGAGGGTGACTGTTACCTGTGTGTTCCGCCTGACCCGGGCATTGAGGCTGCTGCTCTAGGTGCTGGTGAGGCTACTGCTCTAGGTGCTAGTGAGTCTGCCGTCCCAGGTGCTGGTGAGTCTGCTCTCTCAGGTTCCACGTCGGCTCAGGCCTTACACACCTTCACCCTTGACTCGGGTGCTTCCCGCTCCTTCTTCCGAGACCGCACCACACTTACGCCGCTTGGTCCCACTCTGTCAGATCTCTACCTCCCCTCGTTCTCCACGAACTTGGTGAGTGGAGCTGATCTACAGGATGGGGGGGTTGACCAGTTCACTCCTGCGAGTCAGCGAGTGACCCACTGTACGTATGCTCGGACGGGCCGCCACTTGGCCACGTTTACCCGTCAGTCGGGGTCGAGCCTGTACACACTGACTACTGAGTCTTCTCCGGGCGCTGCCTCTGGTCAGGTAGTTGCGTCGGGTTAGGTGTTTGCTGCAGTGCCCAGGTCTGGTCCTGAGTCTGCTCCCTGCTCGTGTCGTCTCCTGTCCCACCAGACTCTCCTCTTGCACCACCGCCTTGGTCACCCCTCCTTGCCTCGTCTCCGAGGCATGACCTCCCGTTACCTTGTCTCTGGTCTCCCCCGGTCCCTCCCTCCTCTTCCTCCGGGGCCTGCCCCTACCTGCGTTCCCTGCATCGAGGGTCTTAGTGTCACGCGTCTCCTGGCTACTGTTGTCACTGACCCTTCCTTTGAGTCCACTGCTGCGTCCGCCTTAGTTGCTGAGCTTGTCGCCTTTGCTGCTCACTGTCGTCTAGACTACGCTACTAGTCTTGTTGCTGAGTTTGAGTCTGTCTGTCCTACGTCCGTCGTGGGTGAGTGTGCTCTTAGCACGGACGTCCTTGAGGACAAGCAGGAGGAGTTCCAGAGTTTTCCTGCTGCTTTGCCTCATCTCGTGTCCATGCTGATTGCCCCTGAGGGAGACCCGGATGCACCAGACATCCCGACTCCTCGATCGTACGCTGAGGCGATCGAGGGTCCCTAATCCTCACAGTGGCAGTCAGCCATGGACGCAGAGATGGCTTATTGGAAGTCCACAGGCACCTACGTCGACGAGGATCCCCCACCTGGGGCGAACATCGTCAGTGGCATGTGGATTTTCAGGGTGAAGCGGCCGCCGGGTTCTCCGCCTGTCTTCAAGGCGCGTTATACGGCTCGAGGCTTCAGTCAGCAGCATGGAGTTGACTACTTTCAGACCTTCTCTCCCACCCCGAAGATGACCACTCTTCGGATACTGCTGCACATAGCCGCTCAGCGCGACTACGAGCTTCACTCTCTTGACTTCATCACAGCTTTCTTGCAGGACAGCCTGCACGAGGAGATCTGGCTGCGTCACCCACCTGGCTTCACTGGGTCGTTTCCTCCTAGTACCCAGTGGAGCCTTCGGCGGCCAGTCTACGGTCTCCGCCAGGCGCCCCGTGAGTGGCACGACACACTGAGGACTACACTTGCGGCTCTTGGGTTTGCTCCTTCTACTGCCGACCCGTCGCTGTTTCTGCTCACCGACACCTCTCTGCCGCCGTTATACATCCTCGTGTACGTCGACGACTTGGTCTTTGCCACTGCTGACACTGCTGGACTCGCCCACGTGAAGGCCGAGCTACATAAGAGACACACGTGCACTGACCTGGGTGAACTGCGCAGCTACCTTGGCTTGCAGATCACCTGGGACAGAGCACAACGCACCATTACCCTGACTCAGTCACACATGGTGCAGCAGGTCCTTCAGCGCTTCGGCTTCACGTACTCCTCGCCTCATGCCACTCCTCTGTCTACTCGCCACTCGCTCTCAGCTCTGCCTTCGGATGGGTCCATAGAGCCGAGTGGCCCATACCCAAAGCTTGTTGGCTGCCTCATGTACCTGATGACCTGCACACGACCTGACCTTGCATACCCTCTTAGCATCTTGGCACATGTTGCTCCTCGGAGACACCGACAAGAGCACATGGCTGCAGCGAAGAGGGTGTTGCGCTACTTGTGCAGTACGTCGGGCATGGGGCTAGTGCTTGGAGGGCGGCGTTCAGTGGTCCTCACAGATCACGCAGACGCTTCTTGGGCTGACGGCCAGGCTACGCAGCAGTCGTCACAGGGTTACACCTTCAGCCTTGGCTCCGGCTCTGTTTCGTGGCGGTCTACCCGCTCGTCTTCTGTTTTCGGCTCCAGCTTTGAGGCTGAGATCTACGCGGGGGCCATGGCTGCACAAGAGCTACGCTGGCTCACCTACCTGCTGACTGACCTAGGAGAGCCGCCTCGTTCTCCTCCAGTTCTGTACGTAGACAACAAGGCCATGCTGGCCTTGTGTCGGGAGCACAGACTTGAGCACAGAACGAAGCACATTGCTCTTTGCTACTTCCTTGCTCGTGAGCTGCAGCAGCGTTGTCAGCTGCGCCTTGCTTACGTGGCCTCTGAGGCCAACACTGCTGATATCTTTACCAAGGCACTTCCGCCTTGTGATCATCAGCGCTTCTGTACGATGCTAGGTCTTGTGCCTACTTGGCCTCACTTGCTCACTTCTTGACCTTGCTTGTACTGTGATCTGTCTATACCTGCACTTGCTTGTTTACCCTTATATCTAATCTTGCATGTGAACTGCCCTTATGGCCTTGAACTTGTGCTCGGAATGTGTGGTGACGTTGTGATCCACCCTGAGCTTGCTTTGCTTTGCTTGACTGGTCTTGTGACCCCTTGTTCTCCCCCACTTTGCCTATGGGGGTGTGTCAGATTCATATGCTATAGTCTGTGTAGGCTGTAGTGGGGTAGACAATATGGGGTACAACACTTTTAGGTTTTCCTACTTGTACCCACCTGTTTCCTAGTGCATTCATTCCTCGTTTCTTCACACGTGCTGGGGGCACTCCTGCAGGCAGGTCATCCAGCATGATGTCCTTGTACTGCTGTACTCTGCAGGTAGCTCCGTGCTCGGCTTTTCCTCTTCTGCTGCTGCCATACCAATGCCAAGTAACCTGTGTTACTCTCGTTCACCGTCTGTTCGAACCGTGCCTGTGGCGTTTCAGGAACATTCCCTGTATCCATCTAGCTTCTCAGCTCCACACGTTTCCCATTGTTGTAGATGCACGCCTTTCGGTTGACCCAGCCGATCTCGAGGTTGAACCGCTTCATAAAATCACGCCCTAAGATGAAATCCAATCCTTCGATGTTCTTGATCGGCAATGTCGGTTTCCACCTTAACGCTCCTATCTGCAGCTGTTGCGTTGACTCGCCATGGATGGGAAGCATCATACCATCCACCATTGTTGCTGTAAATTGGGTCTTCTCCGATGGCTCTCCAATTTTCTCTAACGTCCCGTGGTCGCACACCGAGTGGGACGCGCCACTTTCCACCAGGGCCTGGAGGCGTCGCCCGGTGCATATCACCTGGAGTAATAGTGGTTGTTGCCGCTCCGATTAGCTGTAGATGGTGTAGCTTATGGGATCATAGGGTAGATCAAATGTATCATCCCTTGGTCCTACGCTCGAAGTTGCTGTCTCAATATCATGTATCATCTGAGTAGGGTTAGATGGATTTATCTAAGGGTGGTACAGCTTCTCTTGAGCCTGAAACCTTCCCCTAAGCCTTTGCAGCTATGTAGGCTTCATCTATGAGGAACAGGGAGCCTTTAAACAGAGCTGCTGGGAGAGAATATGAACTCCTCGTAACGCTCGACCCTTTTTAGCGCTCTGGAGTAGGGTCCCCATATTACCCGGTACCGGTTAAATTTCTGACTCTCCCTTAATAAGGGCTTGAAACCCACGAGAAGTAATATTCTTACTTGTCAGGGTGTACGGCTGGAGTTTCCCGGTTGGTGCAAGGTCTTGTTTTGCGGATCCTCCTTTAGTCTCGGCGATTTCCCCTGGTGCCGGCTGGTCGTGACGTTTAAAATTCGCACCATCATATTCTCCCTTTTTCACCCTCTCTGAAGTTGCCACGTTGTCCGTTTTCTGCTTTGGTGGTGCCGCACTGTTCTTGCCCTTCTGCTCCGCACGCATTTCCTTCATTTTCCAACACGCCAAGATACGATATCATGTAGCGCCGCAAATTCCGCCCGTCTCATTTTTTGCTAGCCGCTGCTCCACATCGCCCTTGTCGTTCTCCATCGGGTCGGCAGTCGTGGGTGGTGCCAATCGCCCCATGCCACTATTTGGCTTGTTGCATCGTGTTCCGTAGTAGCTACTGTTCAACGCGTCGAACTGTTTGATCAGTGCTGCACGAAATCGCGCCCACGTCCCTTCGCCTTGGACTATACTGTTGTTGATCCACTCTAGAGCTGGGCCTCGTAACAGTGTTGCTGCGAGCTGTATGCGCATTGCGTCTTGGTCGAGGGTCGTGCATCCAACGGCTTTTAAGAACTTTTCTAGTACAGCTACAAATCAACGGACGTCACTCCCTTTCGCGCTAGGATCAAACACCTCTGGTTGCCTCGTCTTCACTGCTTCGAGATTATCTGTAGCTGCTGCCATTGTCGCGGGTAAAATTGTCGGTGTTGCCGCTGCTGCTGATGCTACTGCTGCTGCTGTTGCTATCACTGCTGCATTCGCTGCTGTTGTGGCGGTTGCCTACTGGTTCGCAAGGAGTTTTTTGAGTCGTGGGAGCGCCGCACGTATCTGCTTATGCTCGGCACGTAACTTCGCAATTTTCCGTACGAAATTATATATATTTCTCTCCATTAGGCGATTTACAGAAAGATGCGCGAAGAAAATGATTGAATTCTAAATGCTTGTTGACTTACTGCGAGTCGAGTCGACTTACCTTAGTTGAAATTCGCGTTCAATCACAGCCGTTGAAGAAAAACTCGATCCGACGCTCCAAATTCCAACTTTTTTGGCCGAAATACTCTGGGCTGTTGAGATTCGAGTCGATCGAACGGTCGAAATTCCAACCTTTTCATCAATAAATCTGAGGGGTGTTCCGAAACCGAATCAAGGGGGACTTAGAAAAATGTGCGGGACTGGTTTTACATACCTGTATCGGCGCTTGTCGTCGCCCCCGTGGTTTTTAAAGGCCGGTTCTAAGCGTTTGAAGACCTCGCGTGTAAATTCGCTCTGATACCAAGTGTAAGGATCTGGTTCAGGATAGATAAATCTATTGAATGATTCACCAGGGTACAAGGCGAGGCTATATATAGGCTCGACACAAAGGCAGTAAACCCGGGTGTTACTAGAAGGCTCAGCGGGTCGCGAAGCGTCCCGAACTGGTCCTTCCTGAATTCGGTAGAAGGCAATTTGGTGGCAACCGAAAAGCCTAGAATTCGGTGCACTCAACCTAGTTCGGTGCCTATAACTTTAATAACTATAGTAAAAGCAACGAACCTAGGAAATCAAGCAAAAGAATGCAAGATAAAATAAAGCTAAGCTAGATAATGCGTAATAAAGTAGACTCAAGCATGTAAAGTCCAGCAAAGTCGTTGTACTCTCACAACGGTCGCCCAGGAGGTTCTTGCGAAGCAGACCTCGGTGTGGTATCCCAGGTCGACATGGAGGATAATTTGCAGCCGTGAGCACATGGTCAGCTTGGTGTCTGCGCTGTGCAGGTGACGAAGCAGCACGCCAATCAGCTGCGAGCACCTGCAAAGCATGTGCGCTGATGTCCTACGTGTGAAACGTTTTGCAGCCGCCTTGATGCAGCGTTAGCATGCTGTCGACTAGCAGGGTTG